TGGTTCATGGGTGTCATCATACGGCATGGATCGATGCAATCACTGAATTGTCTGGTCCATATTCATTTACACGACCGCCGCCTCACAACTGGATGATTGTCAGGTGTGGCGTTAAATATGAAGAATCCATATGATATGTTTATTAGAAATAGTAAGCATAATAATTTTCTGGTCGAGCAGTTGACAGTACCTGGAATGAACTAGAGAAATTTCAATGCAAACGTCAAATGAAGGTCTATATTTAGGAAATTTGGCCAATGCTTTTAGCTTAAACTTCGGATATATCGGTGTTCTAATGTCGTTCAATATTTGTAAAAAGCCAGTTCCTATTTCACTGCTCATGATTTGCCCACCTAAAACTTGGAGTGAAGGAGACGAGTGAGACCGCCTCATGTGTTTAATATTTAGATCTATGTATACTCTTCAAAACAAAAGAAACTTGACATGGTGTTTACATACTGAGTGCATATAACTGATTCAAAGATGGCTTCATGCTCAGTAACAGTAAAATCATCACTTTACAAATTTCCAAAACGTGATTGTCCAGAAAGTGTTTGGTAAAACCACAGAGGGCCATTAAAGCCACTTGGTCAGAGTAGGACCTGTCAAACACGTGCAACGTGAGGTCGAGCATTGTCATGCTCCAAAGATGGAGCATGAATGTGTTTTGGTAAAACGTCGACGTTGATGTAGGGAACGACGTGACGTTGAACTGGTCTTCAGGCAAAATCTGGCTTTCGACAGCCAATTGCGCATTGTCTGTTCGGAGATTATTGTGCATGACGGTGGTGTTTGAACGAAAATGTCTCAACCGGATGTGGATATCCTGGGCGGCGGTGGTAACTCCAGGTCGACCTGACCTGGGTCTGTCATTAACACCCCAGTATTTTGTACCGGGTCCATAGGTTTGAGATGGGCTGTCTGGACACGCTGAAGTGCCTTGTCACATCATGCTACGATGTCCGCCCTTGCAAACGGCGTTGTGTCGTTGAGCTTCTGTCCGTCTTTTCATTCCCTTGTCGTCTATAGTGGCTTAAAGCAATGCATGTGGAGTACCATTGATGTGGCTCTTTAAAGCCTACAGTCACAGGCTTCAGCTCAGGGTGATACACAATTTCATGATGCTACATTTCATGTAGGGTGCGTTTTATCAATTCACTACAGACGAGAGTGTAGCCTTACGTTTTTGTTAAACGTTTCTTTTCAAACGATTGGACGTCGGCAGCCATTCCCATACATGCTGGGATTCAGCATGGATTGGTTTGTGTCAAATATTTTCCTAAAATTCAAATTTGTCCTATGTCAAGTTTTTTTTTTTTTGGAAGAGTATATATGACAAAAGGGATGATTTCAACTTCAAGCAGCCAACTTTCCCTTCACATTTCACAACTTTTCAGTAACATTACCAAGATTATCAACAAGGACTTGTTCAATCAATGTTACAACATTAAAGGCCTCGGTAAAGTTTTCGGTAAATGGTTTATGGTAGACAGGGAAAGGAAATTTCAAAATTTGACGCAGAAATGAAACAAAATAATATAACTCACTATTTACAGACCGCCGCCTCAATATTGCTGAGACAGCAATTATACTTTCCGAAAACGAAACGCGAACGTGACATTGATGTGTGAAATTTCAATAGTTTTAAAATTAGTGTTTGATTGTTATTATTTCGCCATTATAATGCTGGCTTGTAGAAACGAATACACATCTTCGGGATTCCCAATCTGCCGTGCACGTCACCTCAATGTTCACCAGAGTACCATCAGTCGTTTATGGGACCGATATCAACAGTCAATTTTATGTAAGATCGGCCTCGAAGTAATAGGACCTCGGATTAACACTTCAGTCACAGCAACTGCAGCTGCAGCTTGGTTTGACGAGTGTCGTAACCATTCGTAGTCGTTTACGAGAAGCTGGGCTTCGAGCCAAGAGACACCATTTTGGCCCTCTGCTGCGACGACTACATCGACTTCGACGGGTTCAGTGGTGCAACAACGTTCGATACTGGAATCTACAAAACTGGCGAGGTGTAGTGACGAAAGTTTAAGGATTCCCTTAAGATCATGGACAACCAGAGGAAGTTGTTGTGAAACATGCCACTATTAAGTATCGTACTGAATACTGGGTGATTTTTTCAGCTGCCTCGTGTTTCAATTACATTGTTGGTTTTCTATCAGTTTAAAGAAGAAGTTGATCATGGTATCTGTCCTATTACTCTAAAGAAGGAAGTGCTTGTGAAGTTAGTGAGTATGGTTTTACGCCGCCTTTAGCAATAATTAAGCTGTATCACGGTAGGGGACACCGGAAAGGGGCTTTACAAGTTGCACCCATGAAGAAGTGCTTGTGGTATCATCCACTAATTTGGGTGTTTACATTATACAGCCTTTCGGGGGGCCCCTTCGTCTTGGCTCGTCCCTAGCTCGTCGTGAGGGAGAGTCTCGTCCCGAGTGGGTGGATCTTGTCGTCCTGGCTAGTCCCGGGTGGGTGAGTCTCTACGCGATGCGTTGGTCCTACAGTGTCCTCCTTGGGTACATACATCAGTTTACTGCCTTTGTAGTAAATGTGCATGTTGGGATTGTCGATACGATGTCGGTATAGTTCATTACGCTGGTAATTAGTAAGATCATTTGCGATCTCCACTCCTTGCTCCTTCAACACACACCTCATCTTGACCGAATACCACTTGTCTTCCCATTGGACCATGCGCACAATAGTTGGCATTGACTCACTGTTCCCTCTAGACTTAAGAGGATAACCGATGTGCCCTTTCTATATCTCGGGGTACCAGGAGAGGCATCCCCTTTACTCTCTAGCTTTATTCAGAACTTTCAAGACCTTAGTTTTTGTTTATTGTATATGTCTCTTTGTCATCAGTGTCAGGCACACCGTGCATCACCAGCTTATTACGCCTACACCGTTACTACTGCTCCTCTAGCCAGCGTCTATGTCCTCTAAGTACTTTTCAACATCAAAGTGTAACTGCCTTTTGTCTAGAGCATCAATATCCAGTTTAATTATCTCCTGCTCTTGTTTATTCGAATTAAAATCTTCTTGTAAAACCGTGATGTCTGATTTCATTTCTTTGATATCCTCAATAATAGACTGTATGTCGTTCGATAGCCTCTGTTCTGTATCTCGTAACTGTTTGATAATAACATTCTTTATTTCTTCTAGTTCTGAAACTGGGCCGGTATTTGATTCTATATCCCCGTAAGGAGTATCCTAAATGGGATCAGTATCGTAACTGGGAGAGAAGCTGGCCTGGGTCATGCATTCATTACACTGTGGGGCGGTAGCCTAGTGGTTAAAGCGTTCGCTCGTCACGCCGAAGACCCTGGTTCGATTCCCAACATGGGTACAATGTGTGAAGCCCATTTCTGGTGTCCCCGCCGCGATATTGCTTGAATATTGCTAAAAGAGGCGTAAAACCATACTCACTCACTCATTACACTGTGGAATATCGATCCATCGGTGACGTCACTGTTCACACACAGATGCAAACAAACACTTTCATTCTCGACAATAGATAGTGTAGTGTCAGAAAAGGTTTCAACATTTCTCACAAGTGAGAATGACAAGATAGAAAGCAACACTGAAAATAGACTTATCCTGTGTGGAACGTCTGCTACTGGATGGAGTGTACGTCGCGACGTGGCCGATCTTTCTACTACCCCTCGGTTGGGAAAAGTCCCAATCCTCGCTCTATGAAAGGACTAGGTCAATCATGTTCGCTTTGAAAGTGTTCACTGGTCATGTGTGTAGGCATAGTTTCAGTTTTGTGCCAATACATGATGTATAAATATAGTTACCGGCTATTTTCACTCGCTGATCTTTTTCAAATCCATCACAAGTGGCGGGTACCTCTGTATTCATTCATCACATGTGCTTTGTTGTGGGGTAGTTCTGTCCTAGAAACGCTTAGGAGTCAAGCTTCCAAACACTGTCACCCATCCAGTGTGCGAAATAGTTTCCAGATTATGCTAGCCAGTCGGGCTAGCTATGCTGAAAGTTACATGTCTACAAAATAATTCACTAGCCCGAAATTTGAATGCAGAAACTTAGCTTCAACGTATTTAAACTGAAAGGGAAACAGACGGTTACGGTCCAGAAGACTGCGCTTTGTCACCTCGAGGACGTCGGTCGTTGGTAATTGAAACTAATTTACACAGTTGTAAAGGACAGTTGAAAACAAAATTAGAATTTTATGAATTTAATATACAATTACCATGACACTAGAAATAATAACTTAAAATAATAATACTTGATAGAATAACGACAATAGATAGAATAACAACACTAGGTAGAATAATAACACTAAGTAGAAAAACAACACTAGATAGTATAACGACATTAGAATAACAACGCTAGATTTAATAATAGCACTAGGTAGAATAACAACACTAGGTAGATAAAATAACACTAGATAGAATAACAACACTAGGTAAAATAACAACAATAGGTAGATTTACAACACTAGGTAGAATAATAACACTAGAGTATAACGACATTAGAATAACAACACTAGATAGAATAACAACACTATGTAGAATAATAACACTTGATAGTATAACGACATTAGATAATAACACTAGGTAGAATAATAACACTAGGTAGTATAACGACATTAGAATAACAACGCTAGACTTAATAATAACACTAGATAGAATAACGACACTAGATAGAATAACAACACTAGGTAGAATAATAACACTAGATAGTATAACATTAGAATAATAACACTAGGTAGAATAATAACACTAGGTAGTATAAACGACATTAGAATAACAACGCTAGATTTAATAATAACCAGGATAGAATAACGACACTAGATATAATAACAACACTAGGTAGAATAATAACACTAGATAGTATAACGACATTAGAATAACAACACTAGATAGAATAACAACACTATGTAGAATAAACACTAACAACACTAGGTAGAATAACAAATAACACTAGGTAGAATAACAACACTAGAATAATAACACTAGGTAATAATAACACTAGATAGAATAACGACATTAGAATAACAACACTAGGTAGAATAATAACACTATGTAGAATAATAACACTAGGTAGAATAACAACACTAGGTAGAATAATAACACTAGATAGAATAACGACATTAGAATAACAACACTAGGTAGAATAATAACACTATGTAGAATAATAACACTAGGTAGAATAACAACACTAGGTAGAATAATAACACTAGATAGAATAACGACATTAGAATAACAACACTAGGTAGAATAATAACACTATGTAGAATAATAACACTAGGTAGAATAACAACATAGGTAGAATAGAATAACAACACTATGTAGATATAATAAAACTATGTAGAATAATAACACTAGGTAGAATAACAACACTAGGTAGAATAATAACACTAGATAGAATAACGACACTAGATATAATAACAACACTAGGTAGAATAATAACACTAGGTAGAATAATAACACTAGATAGTATAACGACATTAGAATAACAACACTAGATAGAATAACAACACTAGGTAGAATAACGACACTAGATATAATAACAGAACGAGGTAGAATAATCACATTAGACAGTATAACGACATTACAATAATAACACTAGGTAGAATAATAACACTAGATAGTATAACGACATTAGAATAACAACACTAGATAGAATAATAACACTAGATAGAATAATAACACTAGGTAGAATAACAACACTAGATAGAATAACAACACTAGGTAGAATAATAACACTAGGTAGAATAACAACACTAGGTAGAATAATAACACTAGGTAGAATTACAACTCTGGGTAGAATAATAACACTTGATAGTATAACGACATTAGAATAACAACACTAGATTTAGAAGATAAAGCTACTCTGTTTTCAATTTTGCGGTCCTTTATCGTTGATTTAAGACCGCTTAATGTAATTGAAAACCGAACGCGTTAGCGTGAGGTTTTAAATTAAACATTTAGCGCTCTTAAATCAATGTGTAATGAACAAAATAAGACATTTTCAACAACATATATGCTATATTTCAGGTACCAGTATGCATGTATTTGTAACAAGTAGCATACATAAATATAAAAAAATACAGTTTATACTGTGAGCAAATTACAATTATTTGATTTTTCTCAAGCGAATTATTTATCTCCCCTACTGTATGACAATCGACTCGCCCAAATGCAAGCCGTGAAGTCGCTAATTTTAGTCGCCGCTAACTTTATTCACGGAAATAATTGTTGATAACCACCCTTCTATTCCCAATTTGGAAAAGACCTGACATGCCACGCTTTATGTGGGATACATGGGCAGTCGAAGTGGAAGGACTGGGCATTACGGCCGGGACGGAAGCGCTCAGGTAAGGACGTGTGGGCCGACGTGTGGGCCTATCTTTAGAATATCGTCGACGTCAACACACGTAGATCTGGACACGCTTTGAATATACTTCCGCATTTGCGCTGCTGACGGATTTTCCAGCTTCGTAGTTTCTTCACTGGGATTAGGGTCAAGACATTCTTCTTCAAACCATTCGCTTTTTACTTAAAAACACGAAAGATGCTGCCGAGATAGCAATTGCCGATGTCCGACATGTTTGTTTACAAACAATAGGGTTAACGAGTTCGTTGTATTCATACGCTGTGAATCGGTCACTTTAATTAGCGGTCCTTAAACTGTCATTTTAAGTACGGTTTTGATGAGCTTCTCAGCCAATCAGAATCGAGTATCACACCTTGTCATGCTAGAATTAATAATAACACTAGATAGAGTACGTTTACGGCACCAGATACAATAACAAGCAATACTAATGACACTAGATAGAATAACGATACTCGATAGAATAACAACACTAGGTAGAATAATAACACTAGAGAGAATAACGACACTACATACAATAACTAGAAATAATAATGATACAAAGAATAACGATACTAGATACAATAACAACAATTAATGTGTAATTAGAAAACAAAAGGTCAATTCAAAAGACTCAAAGAAAGTAAAAACATTACCATGACTCCAGTAAATACTGAACCGTGATTGATTGCTTAGAGTCAGTCAGAGGTTTATACTCACTACGCGTTAGGTTTTCTATCAAATTTAGAGCTATTATAATTTCGTTATATACCTCTGGTTTTCTAACACAGTATGTTTATCTCATAAATATAATATTCCGGATAAAAGACTGGGAATTTGTTTGTGTTAATAATGTGCTTGTTAGCATTAATCATTAATCCTGAGATGCCATTAGTTAATGGTAGCCGATGCCTTCATGGTTTGTCTGTCTGTCTGTTTGGGATGATCAATCTTTATTCTGGTACTCAAAGGCCTCAGGCCTATAGGACACCATATACATTGCTTCATACACGTTCAAAGAACAATACGCTTTCTATGTACAAATGCGTGGAAAATATATACATGGACAGGTTTTCTGTCTGTCTGTCAGTTACCTTGTACAAGATAGGCATGTTTACCAGAGAAGGAAGGGAGTTCTATTTAGAACGAGACCCGATATAGTACACTCGTCTTTCAAAGCTGTGTGACTCGGTGATTTAGCTGGCAGTGTGTCACCGAACAAGGTAAGGCGTTGCTCATAATATTAATCACTAGCTTGTCTGGTTCAGACTTGATTATTTACGGATCGACGACAGGCAGGCTGGCAAAAACAGACGCCGCGTGTACCTCCGATGCCTGAATGACATATCTGTAGACTGTTTCCGGGTTGCCAGTCATGTCAGAATCCTTCCGCTGTACCTTGTCATGCAGCTTCCACGCCCCCTGCTCCTCCAGCCGAGACATGAGCGGCCCCAAGCGGTGTTTGTACTCAGGTACTGACGAGAACACCGAGTCAAAGATCCCAAAACACATCAACCCACCTGCAACAACAGATTTATAACATTCCTTTTCTTGGATAACAAGTTTAACCGACCATATAGGTTTCTTGGAAGATTCAGTGAGTGAATGTGGCTTGCCGCCTTTGAATATACACCCTGTCCACCATCACCCAATCCAACACCTCAATCTCAGTGGTAATGTGTGTGTGTATCACTATGATATAATTCACAGCCGCGTGGTTTCTTATCCGGGTCATGTGTTCGAATCCCTTATTCGACAGATCAAAAGTCTTTGGTTTCAAACTGGTCAACATATATTACCCATCGTCAACGAGTACAGAACCCTCCCTGTGGAGAATACAACCGGTCGCAAGTCGGGCGCTCAAGGTTCAAATTCAGACTACCATCTTATCATACCAGGTACCCAATTTACTGCTGGGTGGACAGAGGCAATTGTGAACAAACTCACTTGTCTAAGGTGAGACCACATGTATCACATGTCATTCGTTGTGGGGCTGGACTGAAGTTCTAGAATCTCTCAGGAGTCAAGCTGCCAACCCCTGTCTGTTTCTAAGGACAGGGAAGACTGGGTATTGTTTAACATTGAGATTTATATTTATTCCACTAATAGCAATCGTCCAGCAACTTTAGATCGTGGGTTCCCCAGACGGTAACACTTTGTGCCAGTACGGGAATCGAACCCAAGCCTTCGGCATGATGAGATAAAAAATTATTATCATTTCCACTTTTGGGTAACATTTCCATTTATTTCGAAACAACAATACATAAGTGTGCATGCGTATGTGCATATAGATGTACACAGGATTGGGTTGTCATTTTGATGTCATATCTAAACTATTGCACAGGATTGCTGAAAAGCAGAGACGACCAAAAGGCATGAAAGCTTGCTTGCTTACAGTTTGAGAAAGCTGTAAATTTTGTTGTTTGGTAGTATCTATATATTTCTTGTTGTAAAGGTTTAAAATTTGGTTTGATTTTCTTAATAGTACATCTGTAAAGCATAGATTTTGTTATTTATAAGAATAATTCCATTCAGAGGGCTAATATTCATATCCTTGAATCCAAATAATACATTGTCTTTACTTTATTGAATTCGATGTTTCCTTCAGTATACTTTTCAAGCCATTCTGACAGTTGTCTCCATATGGCTTTTGCATACTGACAGGCACAATGGTTTCAAGTGGGTTATTACATAAAGAACATGCTGGGGATTCAAGGTGTCCCATGTTGAAAAAAGACGTTATTAGAATGATTATAAATAGAAACCATCTTAGTTCACTACTTTGTGTACATCGCTTTGCCGTAAGATTTATATTCTTCCACTCTCTATCAGTGTAGTCTTTTTTGAAAATAATCTTCCCATTTCAACTGTGTTTTGAACTTTGAAAAAGTTGGGTCCAATAAATTCATATAAAATGCTGAACAGCCTTGTTGATTGTTTATTTTGACATGTTATAAGGCAGAATGGGCCTAAAATTGGGTTCGACACATCACAGAAAGATGACACTGATTTCTTGACTCCCTCATAAGTCAAAAAGTCTGTTTTGATATTATATCTTTTACAAGGTTTATATAACCAGATACTTTTCCATCATCATCGATCATGTCTCTGAAATGAAATGGTTTTATGCCATTGCTGTATATAAGTAGTTTCACTGCCAATTCTAATAGCATTGTTGTACCAAATAGATTTTCACATTATGTCTTCATCACTTCTGTTTTCACCATTATCACAGCAGTACAAGTATGTTGAACATGAGGAGGGTACCTCCTTCCAAGACATATTATGAATGCAAGGAGTAATCTTCACTACAATGTATTTAGAATCTGCTAAAAAAAGCACATTCAAATCTGTGATATATTCTGAAACCAGCTTTGTCCAGATAGCGTTGCTATAGATTAATCTCATAATCCAACTCAGTTTTTGTGCTGCAATAACAGTTTTTACATCAGGAACACTGATACCACCATATTTAGGTGGTAATTGCATAATATTTCTTTGGATTCTATCAGTTTTACCCTTCCAAATAAATAGATAACACTACTTCTGAAAATCTTCCACCCAGGCATGATAAGGTAAATAGAGAATACTGCACGAGGTCTCAAACGAGTGTCCTTCCTATGGTATCTGACCGAGCGAAAGCGAGGTCAGAAACCATAGGAAGGTCACGAGTTTCGTATAATTCGTATGTAATGAGACCGATCGTGGTATTTTATTTATTTCCCACGTCTTACATGCATTAAATTGACAAAATAGCGTATTTTTGTTCATATTTTGGTTTCAACCCGAAACCGGTTTCATAAAGAGGTTGCGGAAGAGTTTGGTACTGTAGTACAATATTTGCATGACGTCACACTAATGACGTCACTGCCATGGTAACCGACGTCACGATGCATGTCAGTTGTCATCGCCTCGTACAGCCTCCTGCAGTAAACTTCTCCGTTGCACCTCGTTTCTTGGTTTCCAGTTGCTTCATTCGGCTAACATCACTGGTGGAAACATTGCGTTATGTTTTTCGACAGATATAATGTCTCAGTTCGACTCACAATTAAACAGCGACGCGGCAACGTTCGCAATGTTTACATTCCCACAATGCATCTAAGTTGTAGAATGAATGAATTCAGGTGTTTGTTATGAATGAACAAGTCGTTCCGTCACGACGTGACCTAACTGAGAGGTCATCGGTTATCCAATCAAATCGTTAGAATCTCAGGTCAAGTCGTTACGACACAGGTCAACGCGATACGACAGTCGTGTGACGTACGAGATTAATATGCAACTACCCATACGTTGACCACGTGGGTAATAAGAGATCAGTATGCAACTACCCATACGTTGACCACGTGGGTAATAATACTTAGTACCAATTAATTTGCTTCTGTATTTACGAAGTTCCACACATTTGGGCGTCTTTAGGTTTTGAGGTTTGGTAGCTCGTTTAATGTCATTAACACTGAAAATATCAATAATGGGCAAGAAACCCTCATTGCTGTATTTATTTACGTTAATCTGTAAGTAATAATAACAATAATATTCACCTGGTTTCACTGCACGGATCATCTCCGGTAGGGCTGCACATGGTAGAAGGCCACTGTTGAAAGTACCAGCTGCTACCACGCAATCATAGGCATCTGTGCGATAGACTGACTCAGTGAGCGACTAAGTATACATGTGGTCATGCGGGTCTGTTCGAAAAATTGCTGAGTCAGCAAATCACGATGAACACTGTTGAATACGAACCTGTGCCTATGTCCTCTATGTAGTGCCCGTCCATAAACTCTAGGTAGTAATTCCGGTAGACGTTCTTCTTCATGGCCTCGTCTCGCATACCTTTGGACGGATCGAGACCATCTATGTTATGGATACCCCTCTTCCGCAGCTGAAATATTGATTGTAGCCTCTCACTTGACATGATAGAGTGTCATGAGGTGTCGCGATAGGTACACTGTATCTACCATAGATTATTGTAGGAAGGGACGTTTGGGAAGAAATAACTTTGTTTTTGTAAGTATTAGTTGATAAGGATATATCCACCCTCAAGTCAGATAAGCCATTTTTATTTTCGCTCACATTCAGACCTTTGTATTATCACAGCTCAGAAGATGTTAAAGACATATTAATTATAGTTTGAAAGAATTCTTTTTTTCTGTTTAATAGAATATTTGACGATTATATTGACAGGACTTTCACCTTGACAACCGATCCCGTTGGACGCCCCTCTCGACCAGCATGGCTGAAGAATCTACCTCAGCTCTCCCCGCATTATAATGATAATAATAATGATAATGAATTTATATGGCGCCTGCTTCCAAAAGGTATTTGCTCAACAGCGCTGAAGAGAGTAAGAAAAGCCTATGAGAGGGATATTGTGAACAGGTGGGGTTTTTAGGCCTTTTTTGAAAGAGTCTTTACAATTGATTTCTCTGATAATGACAGGGAGGCTGTTCCAGAGTAATGCAATAGTATATACCATAGAACCGTAATGCCCATAGGTAACTTACCAAAACCCCTACACCAAACAATAAGCGACGATGTATATTACCGAGTAAGATTAGAAAGAGAGCACATGGTTCTTGGTTAGCGTGGCGTGTACGTGACACGCCAACATCACTTACTTCCTCAGCCACCATTCCCGTCCCGGAGCCGATGTCCAGCACCCTCAAAGACGATGCCTTCTCCTCCCCAAAGTAATCAGCCACGGACGTCGACAGAAACTCGGGATCTGTGTATTTCCTTGCCTTCCACGTCTAAAATGATTTTAATCAATGCACCACATATAAGGTAACAAAAGAAGGTAACTGTGCTTTATATCAAAATAAAAGAAAATGTTCTTAAAGGTTCTTAAAATTTGCGCATTTATCATGAATTTATTACTATTTTTAAGTCACGATATGTTTGAAATACTGCCGCTGTGACTATAAACTTTAACTCACTCACTCACTCATCAAATCATCTCGACTTTGAGATCGCTTTAAGCCATTTCTACACGCGTGTTCATACATCGCCATTTTATGCATGATCCCGTTTGCATGTTCACGTGTTTATTGGGGCAACGATACTAACACAGATGGTTCTTGAATGTAAACAGCTCACAATCATAGTTGATATATGAAGTGTTTAGAAAACGCTTTTGTAGAAAAGTTTTTGTTCATCGAAACATATCTTTTGAAGACGTTATCTACAGCTCGGCAACGCCCATGACTGCTACGAACGGTCGTCTATTTGGACGTTACGATTACAAAACAACCACATTCGGTCGGTTCATCTAGGAAACCGATACCTGCCATATTAAGCGCTAGGACAATTCCTGGTTTGAGACCAGTTAGGGGAAGAACTGTGCTCAGCTGTTTGTGGGAGCACGACATCCGACCTCGACATTCATCGATATTACGAATATTGCTTCAGCGTGACCGTCAGGCACTCCTAGTTTGGTGTACGCAACCCCTGACGTTCGAGACTGACTCAGAGTACGAATCACAGAGGAGTTCAGTCCTCGATTTCTCAAATCATACTTGACCGCCTCCGTGGTGTAGTGGTTAGAGCGTCCACCCGGAGAGCGGAAGGTCGCGGGTTCGATCCCCGACCGCGTCATACCAAAAGACGTTAAAATATGGTACTTGTTGGACTGGTCGGCTCGGAGTCAGTATAATGTGTCTGAGTGGGGTATTCATGCTTCACTGCGGCATGGTAACTCAGTGGGCTAGCACTATAAAACCAGCTTCAGTCTGGGCTAGTGCAAGCAGCGGCACATACATATACACACGCATGCACGTCGTCATATGAGCGAAATATTCTCAAGCACGACGTTAAACCCAATTTCACCTCACCTCACCTCACCTCAAATCATACTTACGTGTTAACTCAAATTTCAAACTGCGTTTGATAATTGGAAACAGGTAAATTTCTAACTCAACTGCATTTCTAAAATCAAACAGCCAAAACAACCAAACTAACCTATCTACTAAACTTAAATTGTCTACTATGTTTGAGTTTAATATCGATTTCAGTTTATTCTGGGAAATGCTTTTTCCTTTTTTGAGTAAAAAGTTTAACTTAAGACAAAACTCAGACTTAAGTTTGTTTCGAGAAATCGGGGTTTCATCTGGACTACCTGGGTGGTCGCATAAGGGTTTAAGGGGTTCGTTGCTCGACGTCGTCAGTTTGGTGGTGGAAGTGTAATTATATGAAATAGCAACTAATGAGGAACACAACGCAAAATTGTTGATGGCAATTAAAATGGGGACGACATAGTTCGCGAACCTGTTCCGCCCTATGTGCAGATACAGCTAAGTCACATTGTAGCAGGATATTGCCTGCCCGCATGTTGCACGTGCTGTAACGGACTGTGTAATGTGCTTCAGAATGTGCTTCATATCACCCCCCGTAACGTAATGTGACAGCATGACAATGCGGCCCTGCCATGATTGTCTGTTTCTCAAGACCTCCACCCATGGAACATGTCTGGAATGAGATAGGATTAGACGGAAGGGGGGTCTACGACAGGAACAGAAACCGCCCGGTGACGTTAGCTCAGCTGAGTCAATCTTCGGATAATATTTTGAACAAAACTGCCCGGGCTTGATCCTATCATCTGGTGTCCTCAATGCGCCACCAAAATAGTCATGCACGTGTATGATGTATTTGCTTTGCCTAAGATTAGAATCGGTTATATGTACTTACCTCATCATAGACACCAGCAACACTGGAGAAGAGACTGGCCACTTGATGAGGTGTCATTCCTTCCCTCGAGTAGTAGTCATCGATCGCTAATTTGACAGCGTCTGTCATTCTGAAGAACATGTACATGTTAATTCAAGCAGCGATCTATTGCAGCCGTCGAATGGCTGGAATACTGTTCACTGTGTGGCGTTTGAAAAGATGCGTGCACGCACCCACAGACACTTACGCACATAAACATTCACTACCCCGAACTCCCTGTGTAGTGTATATCCAATCCATGCCCAAATGGCGTCATAATGCCAATATGACGTTAACTGTTTTACGTCACTGAAGCACATAGACATGCTCTGATTAGGAAATTGTTTTGAATTAGTTCTAATTTCATGTTCTTTAATGATGGAGACGTCAAGATGCTGCGGGACCACTGCCTTCATATTCTCCTGCACGTTCAACCTGGTTTCACCCTGGTGACGACAACCACTTAACTCCAATTTCAACGAGTGTTAACATCATACGGCGACATATTTCGCCCACAGTCCCACATTTTGACAACTCTTACAAATTGGTGTCAAACGTTGAAGGAAACACGTGGTTACATGGATCGGGTGTTGTCACGGTTGACGTCCGGACGGCCCAATGCACTCACTCAAACCAGTAGTTCAAATTCATGTTTCAGCTAGTGTGGCTAATGTTTTGAAAGTTATAGTTAATGTGATTTAGTAAGGAATCAGATGTGAAACTGGAGACATAGAAATATTTACGAAATAAATGAATAAATCGAACACACCTTCAAACGTTATTGTTGGTCCGTTTTGCTTCTGCAACCGACAAGAGTAGGCTTCTCAAAGATGGGAGTTTCAAATTACGTGGTGAACCTTTGATAAATATATAATGTGACTGTGGTATTCATAACAGTCAGGTAAATAGAATTAAAACATATTAAAAACTAAATGGATAAACTGTCATGGATTATTATATATGTTAATTAATTCACTAGACGAGCAGTGTTTATTGTGTAAGGATTGTTTGATATGCATTGTTCTCAGTTGCACGCTTGTTGTACTGAAATGTCGTGTAATTGCATGTTTCGGTGACGCTCTAATTTTTTCATTCAATCGTCAATACGTTTCTCAGTGTCACCCGTATACATTTTCTCATTCATACCCGTGGTTCTATAATGATGTTTGTCGATTGTAAGTTCAATAATAGAACGAAACCTTGAAGATTGGTAAGCAAGTACACAGAGCATTTGTTTTAACCTCAGCTTTTAAAACTTAGTTGAAAGTTGACAAGTTTACAAATAGTGCCAAGCCAACTCTTACAAAACGATGAAAGAAAGGGGTTTGAACCTTTTCAATCGCATTATGTCATCTAATTTGTCTAATTTTTGTAAAGTCTACGTCTAATGGATAATGTTAAGTTATCTTATTTAAAATAAAATTGTACAAAAAGAGACATATCAAAATGTTACCCAGAAGAAAGCTTTAAAATTATTTCATAGTTTTAGCAATCTTGACTGGACACATCATTCTCTAGTTGAGAGATTCAACTTTAATCTGGACTTGGAAACAGACTACAAACTATAAGCTGTCTGTAAGCGAAATATTGCGTCAGGCAGGTAGCTGTGTTGCAAAAAGGCGGTTTGTGAGAATATTCTGAGCTCTCATTGGCCAGAGCAAAATCGTCTTTCCTTTAGCAAAAACTTGATTGGTTGGATGTAAATTGTGGGTCGAAAACGTAATAGTGACGCTGCAATAACTATTTGTATGGCCTGTATTCAGGAAATATATTAGGCATACATTGTACGTATGACGATGCACATATACAAAATATGGTTTTTAAATCAGATACTCCGTCCATGTAAGAAGGCGAAATGTATCTGATAACAGCGCAGTCACTAGAGAGTGTTCCAAACAAACAGGTTCCGTACCATAACAACATACAACACACTGAAAATATTCAATCATTGAAATCATTAAAAACAAATATGTTTTATCACAATCTCTAACGCGAAATTGAAGTCCCTGTATAACACATGCGGGGGTAACACATGCGTGCGTGCGTGTTTAAGCATATAGATCAGATTTGAATGGGAAATATTCAATTTTTAATTAATTCAGTTTCAAATTAATACCTTTTCCTTTAATACGGGGTCAGATATTTTCAGGACCCTCTCCACAGTAGTGCGTACCGAGCATGTGCCCAGGGATCGGAATGTCGCCGGTTTCATATCGATCGCGTCATTGTAAAACAGAATATATTTGTTGTTACCCTGCCTGGCGGTCGGCTATACTTCAGCATCACGTCCACTTTGACTATAGCCTAAAACATTTTTCCGCACACAAATACACATCACAGTTTGGGAAAACTCTCCGGCCTACTAGTCCAGGTCATGTAGTCTGGACTATCATAGCCTAAAACATTTTCCGCACACAAATACAAGTAGTATAGGGGCCTTTATGGCGGCAAAATCTATTTTTAGCTATGGGGCTTTATACACTCTATTGTATATTGAGATCTATTGTGTGAACACCTGGTGTTTCTATTTTTAGACTCTGGTGGGTAATATAAAGTCCCCGAACAGTGCTCCATAACATTCTGACTTCAGTCGGACAACGTCCCTTCTCCATTCTATGTTCTTGACTCTACTGGTTCTATTGGCCTTGAAAATGGAAGCCGTTCACCGTGAGAGTTGTGATAACGAGGCCCTGGTAACACTTCCAAATCCCAGATGCCATTTACATCTAGGGGACGACGTCTATGTGACAGCCAAGACATGGAATGGAAAACTAGAAATTCATGTGAGGAAGTACGAAGTATACCCGAGTGGCAAGTGCTACCCAACCAAACGAGGCATCGTGCTTACCTTGAAACACTGGCTGGAAGTGTCTAGTGTTCACGTGCAGCTGAAACAGCAGGGAAGGTACTCACACGTCCATGTTGGAGGGAACATGTACGCTTCCTGGGACGACAATGGTATTGATGTGCGACAGTGGGAGAATGATCAGAAAAGTGGTAGAGTGATACCTACCAACCAATGTATTCTGTTGTCCCTAGATCAGTGGGAAAAGCTGGTAGATTGTGTAAGAGTCATGTTTGACTTTGTGCCAGAACTGAAGGACATGGTACCCTGTATGCTTCAGGACGATCATCAAAACCAGAAGAGATACTTCCAGTGTTCCTTTTGCAACCCTAGTGACTACAGTTACAGGGTGTAAAGCCATTCTTGGTTTAGACACTGTACTGTGCGGACGTGTTACAATTGGTCTGGGATATCATGGATGTGTGTGGACATTACCCATTCGACAAGACTGTCGTTGCCGATTGCTGTGCAATCAAGACTGAATGGACTTCATTCCAGAAAAGACTCGATTCGTTTAAAGACTGGCCAGTGCAGATGAAACAGAGTCCTAGTCAAATGGCTCAGGCAGGATTTGTGTACTTAATCAGAGGGGGACGCTTGCAAGTGTTTTCAATGTGGTCTCGTTCTCAAGAACTGGGAAGTAGATGATGATCCCTGGGCCGAACATGAAAAATGGTCTCCAGATTGTCCGTATTTGGCCCTGGTGGGAGTACCTCAGAAAGAGGTGACCCGTTGGGGTAGTCATGTGGATTTGCAACCAAGAGTGTGATGTAAAATGTGTGACTATTGGAAATAAATCAATGTTAAGAGTATGTCTGCCTTGGTTGTCTATGTATAGTATAAATAGAGGTTTACTCAAATACTAATCTCACTGAGATCCCAACCACGATAAAGAGTTTGTTTGCTAGAAATAGTATGGCTAGGTACGTGTTGAAACATTACGAATTTTTTAAGGTTCATGTTAATGTTTCAAGACATTGAGGAGATTCAACAAGACATCTTAGAAATGAACAGAGAACAGATTCTTGCCATCAATGGTATTATCAATAGGTTATTAAAGGGAAGATTACCAGTGACTCGATATGAAAGGCGTCGTTTCCTGAGGAAAAATGATAGAAATAACTATCTAGCGGTGTTACGAAGATTAGTTCACCCCCTGTGGACGACAGACAGTATGTGGAAGAGTCTTTTTGCCAGTAACATGCCAATCGTAGCATTTGTTTTGAAACCACAGTTTGTCAATGCACTTAGAGATGAGGCCATTCAAAATGCCTGGTTGTTTGATAGAGCATTGGCTTAGTATGTTTGGTACACCTGGTTTAGTTTGTCATAGTAGTGCATCCAAACCATCCTGGCAGTGATGTTGAAAGCTACACCAAGCCCAAGGTCAATGAAGATATCTATATAACAGGCCACAAGGGCTATCTAACTTCATTTAGCCGTGGACCAGTGACAGTGACGCATCACCTCAAGCCGCTCCCGTTTTCATCATGAATAATCCACGATACAAACTCTTCATACCGGATGCTGATAAATGGACACGGTTTTACATGCTCAGGGCTGAAGGGAAAGGAGACCCTTATCATTCTATGTCTGTCGATCGATATTTGGAACTGTATGACCCAGAGTGGAAGAAAGACAAACAAAAACCAGAAACCACAGAGCAACCTAAGATTAATTTTGTTACCCTACTCAACAAGTGGTCGAACAAGCTAAAGCCAAGTTGAAGAGAGAGAGGAAAGTGTCGTCAATAGGAAAACACAAAGCGAATGAAAACATATTTTTAAATAGAGACGAAAGGCTAAATGTGTCATTTGTAGTAGGACTGTTGACGTGTGAACATCATTATGCATCCCTGTCCCGTATGCTCCAAATATGCTCCAATATGTTTGGGCTCATGACTTGTCCCCCGCACAGCTGTTTATATCTGGCCCAGGCAGACTCTTTAGCCTGCCTTCTGCTGGAGAGTGAGGGGGTGATGAGTCATGGCTTGCGCATGCGTACTAACTGTTGCTAAGGCTCGCATCATCATTTAAAGATGGCGGCCACATTAGCAACCCATCCCACCTCAAGCTTAACTCGCACTATTTCTCCTCTCTCTAACATTGTTTGTGTTAACATAATTGGTGTTATCCTAACACTTAACTTTGTAGCAAACCATAAATGAAGATTAATGACTGTCTGTAGAAATCTTGACAAGGGGGAGGTTACAATAAACAAACCCAGTCTGGAATCCCGTAAAACTGAAAAATGTTCTTAATTAACGTGTCACAATTATCTTATCTGGGTTTTCTGGGAAACTGTTTACATTATATGACAGCCCCAACTTTCCTCTGTCAGATGAAATTAACAGAGTTTATTCAAGCAGGGTCTGTTTCACATGAATCTGTTGCAAACATAAGTTTCATTCATACAGTGTATCAGAGAGTGTAAGGTTCTTGTTGATGATTCTAGTAGTATTGCCGTGAAAGTTTGAAGCTGTATTTTGTGTATTCTAAATGGAGCAAGTTTAAGTGTTATTTTCGTTGGAATTTGTACTCAAAATGGAGAGAGTATGTGAAGATCACTTTAAAAAACTGGAATTACTGTGCCGGATATGTGCTGGGAGACTTACACCATTTGGTAAAAAGAGTACGTCTAGGCCATGTAAGAAGTTCACTGAGAGACTGTATCATGTCTATGGTATTGATGTGTTATCTGACAATAGTTTCCACCCACAGTGTTTCTGTACGACCTGTTACAACAGGACATTCACTCTAAACAAAGGAAAATGCAGGATACTATCAAAGGGAGATAAATTTGAAAATGTTTGGGAGGTTAAGCAATGTGACAATGGGTATGTGTACAATTTAAAACCCAAAGTAAAGGGGAAGGCCAAAAAATACAGACAGAAAGGGCAAATGATGATGAAACATCGATTCTAGGATTAGAAATCATGGAACACGGTGCATGTGAGGGGTTCAAGTTCAGTGGCGACACAGCATGCTACACCACCCGTCCCATGAAGGA